TTGTAGCGCTGTTATGCTGTCAGATTGATACCTTTGACAGTGGCACACAATATGTTCATAAAATTGAGTTACTGATCTAGATGCTGAGTCTCATCTATTACTGAAAAAAATTTAATACCCCAAGGTTTTATTATTTATGTACCTATTAATATATACAGGTGATATGTCTAAATCAGAAATCAGAAAATTTCTTCTCAAGAACCACCTTGGTGGCTGGAGAGATAGCTCTTGGAGTCCATGCTTCAAATTAGCATGTAGGAGACTTGGATTGTTCCCAGGCAACATGTGTGGCCCCTGGGGCAATATTTTAAGGCCAAGAGTTAAAAAGAACCATTTTGGTACTACAAATGTTTCATAGAATAGAATGGGAAGGAGTGGAAGAAAGCAGGATCAGAAGCCCGACTAAGCCAATAAAAGACTGCAAAAGTTATACACATTTTCAATTTATGAACTTTTCACTATCTAGAAATTAGTAGAAACACTCATCAGGTTAAAGGTGTCTCTATCCAAGAAAAGCCGCTTTGTGATTAGAGGCTGCCATTTAGGTTTTGGCGTATTGCTGTTGATTGCTGTAGTGTGTATATAACTGGTGTGTTCAGAGATGGTGTGTGGATTGCTTGTCTCTATTTTAAAGCAGAATGCCAATGTGGAAGTGCTGATGAAAACAGTATATGAGAAACTGGGGAGAGGGCTCGACAGGCAGGGACATACACGCCTTGTATACTGGAAGCCTGGGCTCAGTCCCCAGCACAGCGTGGCCCCCTGCTTACCACCCTGGCTCCCCTCCCTGGGGGAAAAAAAAAAAAAAAAAAACGTTATATACTTGCAGTTGAAAGAAGGTGAAACTTTGTCATTGACTTATTCACCTTGGTCTTTGTTAGAGTATCATTTCATGTTTTGAACAAATAGTTTCAGAAGTCTTTTCTCTTTTGGGGCCACACCTAGCAATCCTGAGGTCTACTCTCTGGAGTTCTCAGAGAACTATGGGTATTGAGCATGTAAAGCCTGCACTCAGCTTGCTTGCTTCTCCCTTCCTCTCCTCTCCTCCCCTCCCTCCCTCCCTCGTCCCCTCCCAAGGGACCTTGTAGAGTCTGGGATCCAATCAAGGACCTCACACATAGAAGGCAAGTGCATTATCACACTTGACTCTGGCTGTATTTTCGTATTGTGATTTTTTTCAAATTTAGAATAATAGTTTCTTTTTTATCAAAACTACTGTGTTTCTAAATAATATATAAATACTTTTGGCATCCAGAATATATTATTATTAGGGGCTGGAGCGATAGCTCAGCGGGGAGGGCATTTGCCTTGCACATGGTCAATCCGGGTTCCATCCTCGGCATCCCATATGGTCCCCTGAGCACCGCCAGGAGTGATTCCTGAGTACAGAGCCAGGAGTCAGCCCTGAGCATCGCCGGGTGTGACCCAAAAAGCAAAAATATATATGTAATTATTAATGTAATCCTTTTTTGTTTGGGGACTGTACGCTGAGGTGCTAATGTGCTCCTTCTCAGAAGGTTTTCAGGGGATTGCTTCTGTGGTGCTTGAGACCATGCTGTGCGTTTCTTTGTGTACACAGGTTTGGAAGGTACCGAAGAAATTTTAGACAATGGTCACTTACCCAAAGAAGTTGTGTACAGTGTGGGAGGTGGGGAGGAGGAGGAGGAGGAGGAGGAGCCGCCATTGATTAAAACATGGTGAGACTATGTGCTCTACCATTGAGCTATGTCCCTGGCCATAAGCAACATTCCCCCCACCCCCCAAGCTCCGCTTCAGATACAGTGCATTGCTCAAAAATTACTGTAATATGCTTACTTGATATTGAGCTCATTATTAAGAGGAGAGAGATAGAGAGAATGTGTAAACTGCTGATGTTGAACTCAAGAGAGTAGAAATATTACCCAGATTGAATTATTTCAAACCTTTTATTTTCCTTTCTCTTGGTGGCCTTTGTTGTTATGGTGACAGAGAACCACTTGCACTTGCTTGGAGATTGCACACTATTAGGCTGCCAGTTTTCTGTGATTAGTGGAGGCACTGGAACTGTGCTTGGTGAATGTGCAAGGCACCAGGGATTGAACTCATGGCTTCATGCTTGCAGTGCAGATGCTTTTAGCCATGGAACCACCTCTGGGTGTGTCTGTTTTATTTTTTAAATAAAGGTGATGATGACTAGACGCTCCCTAGGGATCACGTAATTGGTTGCACTGTGCCAGAAATCAGATAGTTGTGGCTGTGGTATGAGATTTGCTTTGTCAGCAGTGTTAGGGGTTGGACTTATGAGCCAAAAGCCACAGGCAGGTGCTCTGCTGTGGAGGACCTCCCTGGGCCCAGGGTTGAATCCTTTTTAGGAGGGAGCAGGACCACTCTTGGCAATTCTCAACCAACCAGGCCTGAGAAATCTATGCCAGGGCCAGAGGATTTGATGGTACTCTAACCCTGAAGTGCTCAGGAGCCTCTAGGGCAGTGACGCTGGAGGGGCACACTTGTGGTGGCAAGGATCAGATGAGGGCCCAGGTATACATGGCATGCACCCTAACCTGTCTACACATCCCAGGCCTCGGACTACTGATTCTGGTTTTTTTTGTTTTTTTTTTTTTTTTTTTGCTTTTTGGGTCACACCTGGCAATGCACAGGGCTTACTCCTGGTGTATCTCATGCACTCAGGAATTACTCCTGGTGGTGCTCAGGAGACCATATGGGATGCTGGGAATCGAACCCGGGTCAGCCGCGTGCAAGGCAAACACCCTACTCGCTGTGCTATCGCTCCAGCCCCATTCGAACTTATTTTTTATTTTTTTTTGCTTTTTTGGGTCACACCCAACGATGCTCAGGGTTACTCCTGGCTCTGCATTCAGGAATTATTTCTGGCGGTGCTTGGGGGAACCATGTGGGATGCTGGGGCTCGAACCGGGGTCGGCCGCATGCAAGGCAAATGCCCTACCCACTGTGCTATATTGCTCCAGGACTGATTCTCAACCCTAACTTTTTTTTTTTTTTATCAGTGAGGGATCCACAATCCTCTGTGGCAACTCCTCGAGCCCAGAATATGTAGGGAATTGACTTTACTGAAATTTGGAGATTGAGTATGTGATTTGGCTAGCACATACTCGCAAGATTTAGGTTTTCAAGAAAACTAACTCACAGTTTCAGTTTTCCTTCAAGAACTTGTCCCTTTAAAATGGTATCTGTAAAGATAGTCCAACAGATTGAGTACTCACTTTGTGTGCGGGAGGCTCAGGTTCAATGCCCTGCACCATAAGGGCACTAAAGCACTGCTGGGTGTGCCCCCCCCACCCTCCAGTTCCCTACTTAAAATGGTAACTATTATTTCAGAGAACTACATGTTATGTAATATGGTCATTTACTGTTTGAAAAGTTAGGGGACCAGAGTGACAGTAAAGTGGGTCGGGTGTTTGTTTGCCTTACTTACACACAGTGGACCTGAGTTCAGTTGCTGGCATCCTATATGCTGAGCTCTACATGACTGCTCCCTGAGCATACAGTCAGTAGTAAGCCCTGAGCACTGCCAGATGTGACTCACAAAACAAAATGAAACGTTAAAAAAACATTTTTGTGGTTCAGGAGTAGAACCCAGGGCCTCCCACATGCAAGGTCCTCTCTCTGCCTGCCATGAAGCTTCATCCCCTTCATCCCTGACCTTTTTTATTTTTTTTTTTTTGTTACTTTTTGGATCACACCCGGCGATGCACAGGGGTTATTCCTGGCTCTGCACTCAGGAACTACTCCTGGCAGTGCTCAGGGGACCATATGGGATGCTGGGAATTGAACCCTGATCGGCCACGTGCAAGGCAAATGCCCTACCCGCTGTGCTATCTATTGCTCCAGCCCCCCATCCCTGACCTTTAATATAGTTGTTTTTTATATCTTTTTCTCTTCATGCCACATTGGGGGTTATAATCAAATATTGCAGTAAGCAATGAAACTGTGTGTGTTTGGAGCCATACCTGGCTGTGCTCAGGGCTTACTCCTGGCCCTGTGCTGTACTCAGGGATAGCTCTGAGCAAGAGCAGGGGGCCAAATGTGGTGCTGGGAATCAAACCTAGGCCATCTGTGTGCAAGGCAAGTGTCTATCCAACCGTACTGTCGCTATGGCACCTTTACTCTTAACGCAGTATTCAAGAAACTTTTGAAAAAGTTCCCTTCTTTCTGTCTGTTAATGGTGATTTTTCTTTTAATAAGCAAACATCTTTGGTAGGCACTTTTTAAACATCTCTCCTTTGACTGTGAAATCGTTTGCACTCTTAAGTTGACTTTCTGTTTTTCTGCTGTTGTAAAATGCAGTTCTTTGCATGTTCTAATTTGCCATGACGTGGTCAAGTGCCGTTTCCTTCCTGTTGCTTGCAAGCCTGTGGTAGAGATAAGGATACATTTCAGTGCATTAAAAAGAAGCTACTGCAGACAGGGTAAAGCATTCTACTTATCAGAAACCTTTTTATTTTTATTTTTTTAAAGAACAAAGAGTGGGCTTTAATATCTGCTGCTTTTTAAAAGTTCTTAAAATAATGCTTAGTAAAATTTAAATGTATGAGATTATTCCTTTCTATCTATATATCTCCTAATAGGGACACTGTCTGATGTTTTTATTTTTATTTTTAATTACGAAATTCTCATGGAATTCTGAGTATATGATTTGCTGGATTAGTGAAAAGCAGAATATTGTCTATATGCCTTAATGTGAATACAAACCTAGTTGATTGCTGGGTGACTTTTTTTTTTTAATTTTTTTAACATTTAGTACTCTAAGGGCAAAAGAGAAGAACAGCTTTATTTTCTGTAATGAGAGGTTATCTGAACTAACAAGGATGAAGTCTACTGAGGAAATATGTCTTTTGTGGAAACCTGTGTTCTTTTAACTTTGTCATGTTAATTTTGATTGAAAACTGTCACAAAAATACTTTAGAAATGCTGTACTCAGTACTGTTATATTCTAGACTGCCATGATTGCTTTTCTCATAACTCAAACTTTTGCTTTTCAGGTTAAGAAGCCCTAGCGAAGAAAACTTTCAGAAGTGCCTTAGTTTGATTGCATAAAATTATCAGTGAACTGAGAAAATTTGAACCAGCTTTCCTAAGGATAACCTGGATATACAGTAGCTTCACAGACTTAACTGAAGATTTTTATCATTAGTCTCTGGACATTGTTGCCTGATACTTGAACGTATTTGGAATTTTTCTCATGTGGATCTAAGAGGAATGCTTTATTATGGCTGCTGTTGTGCAACAGAACGACCTGGTGTTTGAATTTGCTAGTAACGTCATGGAGGATGAACAACAGGTATGAGAATCAGAAATACCTTTATTTTGATAATGGTTTCTTCATTTGTATCAAAATAATTTACTTCAAAAGACAATAGTAGATAGTCTAAAATTTTGGAGGTGATGTTACATTTCAAATATTAGTTAATTCATTAAGAGTCTTATCCAGATCTTTGATGTGGTTAAAAGGGGATAAGCTTCTTTTTTTGTAAAGTGAAACTTCATAGTAAATACCTTTGGTAATTATTCCGGAGTGCTTTGAAAAGTTTTTGAGCACATTCCAACAAGGCATATGATTTTTTATATTGTTTTACAATAATTTTTGCAATTACTCAACTTTATGTGTTTGATTATTATTTATAATCCTGGGCTTTTTTTTTTAGAGACAATGAAAAAATGTTAGTCGTCACTTAGTCACATATTATTTCAGTGCAAAGCATGTGACTTTGAGGAAGTTACTTAACTTCTCTAGAAAAAAATTTCATCATCTGTTGTGTGAGAGGATTGAACTGAAGCATTTTTCTAAAGTTAGTTTTTATTGTTTTTTTTTTTTTGCACAAAATGCGAAAATTGCTTTTTTCTAAAGATCCAAGAGATACTGAGGGAAAGGTCTAAATTTATTCTAGTCCCTCTTCACTTTTAGGAGGAAGCTAGAGGCTTAGGGACTATGTAATTTAGCAGGTCATAATCAGAAAGAGTTTCTGCAGATAATAAAAATAAAATTGTTTCTTGCTTTTGGTAAGGCATGATAATTTCTGTGCTCTTTCAATTGTATTTTTAAGTAACAATAAAAAAGCTGTGTTCATAAAAGATGAGTGTTTTTTTTTAATTTTTATTAGTGAAACATCATGAGGTACAGTTGTAGACTTACAAATTTTTGTGCTTGGGTTTCAGTTATACAATGATCGAATACCCATCCCTCCACCAGTGCCCATTCTCCACCACCAGGATGGGAGATGCGTGCTGAGAGTAGACTATAGATGGAACATGATTGCCACTCAATACCTCTTTTGAAAACCACAGCACCCAAAAGGAGAGAGAGAACAAATGAGTGTTTTTTTTTTTAATTGGGGCCTCCCCAGTAGTTGCGAAGTGCAGGGGGTCCCGGGTAAGGGCCACCAGGCATGCTTGGGGAAGCCATGAGCTGCTGGGAATCAAATAAGGCACCTTTTGCATGCCCCTTGAGCTGTCTCCCCTGCCCCAAAAGATGAGAATTTGGATTAAGATATCTTAATCTCAAGATTAACATAGGCTAATAAGGAAAATGGTTTGAAAGACCACTTGATTTCTAAATCTAAAAATAGTAATATTTACATAGATTTACTCTAGAGACATTATTAAAGATATCTTAGGAGGAGTGAGTGTTTTGAAACAGATGTTTCTGTGTATGTTAAGGCATGAGAACAGTGTGTTTACTCTGCATCTCTCTCAGATGAAAGATTCAGACTTGATGCAGTGAGATTTGAGCTCAGGATGTGGCTACAGAGAACAGAGCTCTCAGCCACTCACTGCTGTGCTCTGGCACAATGATGTTGACATTCTTGACCATGAGAAATCCATTTTACATAATGGTGCAATAGTGATAGGTGTGTCTACATTACCTTAAAAGAAGTTATAGAGAGCAGTGCTTATCTTTGCTACATATGATGTATTTAGTCTATCTAGGAAAGGTTCCTAATGTCTTTGGGTGGGAGATGGTACCCTGAGTTTAGACTATACACAGAAATATTTTCTTGTATTTATTTTTCTCTAAAAAAAATGGATATGTTAGCTTAAAAGGTCTTTATAAATAACTTATTCAATGAGGCAGATACTTGAATTTCTTTTTCGGGACGGAGGGAAGGAGCTCCCAAGCAGTGCCCCATTGTACGTCTTCTCGAGACCCAGTTATCTCCACTTCACAATGATGAGGTTAAGTGACTTGCTACCACTCATAAACTTAATAGTGGAGCTGCAGTTTGAACCTAAACAGTTTGACTTCCACTGATGAACTACTCTTGCAAGGATGTACCGCAATCTTACTTACAATTACTATCAAAATGTTTGCAACAATTGGCCAGGTATAGTGTTCTTTAACCTGTAATCATGAGCATTGCAAACTCTACTGGTTGACATGGGTATAAATATATTTAGTAGAGTCAGTCTTACTAGCATGTATCTAACCTGTGGTTCTACTTCATTATTGTTAAATTTATTCTTAAGTAAAATTAATTTATTTTGGGGTTACTCAGGGGCTGTTTCTGGCTCTCTCAAGAAATAGGGAGTCTTAGGACTCCTGGAGGTGCTCAGGGGACCGTATGTAGTGCGGTGTATTTACTGCACAGGTATTGTTTTTGGAAGCCACAAGGTGTGTTTTGTGTTCATGAAACATACCAGTGATTGTTTAAGTCATCCCAGGGTAAACCAGAGAATTTGGTGGTCCCACTGGGGAGTGGGGGCAGGGGGTATAGGTGAGGGGTCCCTCAGAGACCCCAAGACAGGGGATATTCACACAGAGAGCCCAGGTTCCTTGTCAGTCACTCATGTTCATCTTATTGCATGGGTATTTTACACTCAAAATTTATATTCTCTTCCAAACCAAATAAAGTAGGTTACTCTTTTTGTTCTCAAGAAGAAATCACCTAGTTTTTTTAAAATTTGAAACTTCAGAAAAATTGTTAGATTAATTATACAGTATGTGTATATATAGCTCTGAATTTTAAGTTTGCTTGACTAAAAAAGTATTGATGGAGCAAAAAACAGAACAAAACAAATAACCTATTATAAAATAAATAACAGTGCTTTAAAAGTCTCTCTTCATCCTCATTCCCTGCTCCTATTCTCTCCAGAAATACCTGGATCAGGATCCTCCCCCCGCCCCCCCCCCCCCAGACAGAAGACTAATACATGTACAAAAAAGTTTACATTTAAAAGTTATTTTTTAAGATACAAAAGATGTTTAATTTTTTTTTGTGATTTGTTTTTACCTGGTATATTTCTCTACTTATATGAATTGGTTCGATACCACTGATTTTTCCACATTGATAAATGAGTAATTTAATTTACCAGTTTTTGATAAAGATAATTGGCTGTTACCAGTAAGTGCTTTTTTTAAAAAAAAGAAAAGTAATGACATTGCTGTGAATGCTTTCATTTGGGAGGCAGAAGACCTCACCATAGTGGTTAAATGCTCATGGGGCCAGAGAGATGCTACAGCAAGTCGGGCACCACCCTTGCCACACAAGTACCCAAGTTTTATCCTTAGCACCCCATATGGTCCTCTGAACCCCATCAGGAGTGATCCCTGAGTTCAGAGTCAGGAGTAAGCCCTAAGCACGACCAGGTGTGACCTAAAACTAAAAACAAACAAAAAAGCTCAGATGTGAGAATCAGAACACCTGGATTTACATCCTGCATCATTACTTAATATATTTGTAACTCTGGGCAAATAATAAAGGTTAAGACCTTTCTTTTTTTGGGGGGGGAGGGGGCCACACCCGGCGATGCACAGGGGTTACTCCTGGCTCTGCACTCAGGAATTACTCCTGGCGGTGCTCAGGGGACCATATGGGATGCTGGGAATCGAACCTGGGTCGGCCGCGTGCAAGGCAGACATCCTACCCGCTGTGCTATCGTTCCAGCCCAATTAAGACATTTCTAAGCCTCAGCTTCTTTATATGAAAATGAGAATGTAATAGCATTCTGTATTTTAGGGTTGTCATTAGGTTAAATGAGTTTGCGTATTGAAATGCCTATTGGAATATAGATAGTAATTTAGCACTGTCATTTTGTTAATTGTATCTATATATATAGTGTATCTCTGTACATGTGTATGACTAGAACTATTAAATTTCTAAAAGCCAAATTACTGGGTTTACTAAAAGTAAAAATCATCACCAAATCATTCTTCAGAGAGACCATGTCCGTTTCCCCTACCACCAGCACTATCTTTTCCTCCCACCCCCTGCCTGCTTCTATGGCATGTGCTTTTCTTCTCTCTCTCTCTCTCTCTCTCTCTCCTTTTGGGCACCGTGGTTTGCAATTATAATTGAAATTATTAACAGTATTGTTTCTAAATAAAAGTTGGGAGAAAAACAAAGATATCTGTAGACATTAGTTTTGAACTTGTTGATATATTCTGTTACATTTTACTGTTTCTGATTATGTCTCTCACATTGCTTTTTTAGTTTCATTTTATAAATTTGATATCTGATATGATTTTCTTCCCTCAAAAACTGAATAGATTTAAAAATAAATTTTAGAATTAGCTTTTCAGTTAAATTAAAAACGACTGGGATTTTAACTATTCAAATTTAAAAAGTATTTATATTTTAAAGTGATTGACTTTGTTTCATGATTCTTTATTGATTTGGTTGGCTCATTTTACAGTCAGTATTTAAAGCCACTAGACTTGAATATATTTCCTGCTTTCATTTATGGTCTTTAGTTATAAATGTAGTAGTCTAAAGAAACTGACATATTTTTCTGGTTGCTACCACTTTGATCATTTCCTTTTAATTGATTCATATTACTTGTAATCATTCTCCTGGGTAGGGATGGAGGTGGAAGCTGGAAAGAAATACCAGCTTTGTTGGCACTGCCAAGTCATTTGGAAGTCTTTTCTTCCTGTCTCTTCCCAAACTGGGAATATTTGTAGGTAGGAATGAGGTATATCTGGGCTGGAGAGAGAGCAGTGGCCAGGCCAGTGTTCAGGAGACAATATGTGATTTTAGGGATCAGCCCTATGCAAGAAATAACAATTTTTGTGTTTCTTTTTTGACAAACTACTGAGGGAATCACCACTACTCAGAGGATGGAACCTTTGACCACATTCTGACTTTGAGAAAACTTAACCATAGAAGAATTTCAGTTATTTCTTGACTTTATGTGACAAATGTGCTCCTGCTTGTCGTTTTCTTCCTGTTTTCCTTCCTTCATTCCCCCTTCCTTTCCCTTGCTCCTATTGGGGAAAGGAAGCATAGAGCCCAGTAGCTCCTGTTTGCAAAGAGTGCATTCTGCTATTGACTTATATTCTCAACT